CTAGCAGTAACAGATTGTTAGAACACTAATCTTGTCACGATATACCTAATCTCGAGATCTGATTTGCTCAGAACTGTCACGTCACCTATAGTTTTATTAAAAGGCACCAAATATTACCTCTTAAAATAAACATTAATGGTTGTTCTAATCTACGCTTAAAAAACAACTTCTAATTAATGTATTAATAATTAAATTATATTAAAGACCTTCCAATCTTTACTATTAGTTATACCGTATAAGAGGTTGTGAGCACAGCTTTAGAAGCTCAGCTTCAAAGTCATGACTAAGCAGGCTTATGCAAGAGATTAACATCCCTAACGCCAATTAAACACAAGATTAAATACTTTCAATTAGGCTTATTAATCTATTTCTAATACTAAATAAATTAAAAAATCGTCATCTATGATTAAACAACCGATTCCAACATGTTCAATGACATGAAATAAAAGTAATGATGTAACGATATTTTAATTTAAATGAATAAAAAAAGACAGTTTTAAATAATAATAATAATAAAAACAAATTTACTTGCTCCCTAAAAAATTTTGCACACTAAAATTTCTTCTTTAAAAAGATGGTCTATGAGACTTATAATAAAATCACGAACGAAGATGAATTTATGCGAATGTTTCGAATATATAGGACAACTCATGAAATGCTCAGAGATAGGGTAAATTCCTGTGAATTTCTAAGGTGGATCCGGTTTTTGAGCTCTTCATGTGTTTATTATCGCGTTTTATAGGGATATGTTATCCCAGAAGGATTTGACAGATATAATTATTTCCATCGGCATTGCGTCCAGGATGGTGAATTAGTGTATGTTTTTTTTATAATTATCTTAAAATTATCTTTTTTTTTTCATTTGAGTTAAATAATTTAATATTAAGAAAAAAAAAAAAAAAAAAAAGAAGTAAAGAGTTGATGATGTTCCAAGTTCAAAAGGAGCATTATCCTGGTGACCGTATCTTGGTTCTTTTCCCCGATATTAAAACTATCGGGATTAATTATATGAAAGAGTAAGTGTTGTTAGCAATATATATCAATACTTATAGACAGTTTAAATTGAGATATTAAATTAGTTTATTTTAGCGTTTGTGTTCGTTTGAGAGATCTTCAAATAGGTAAAGCAATTATCATATATCCTGGCACGTTTACCATACAAGCGAGCAAGGTAACAACGGTCTTTACAGAAGGATTCTCTAATTTTTTTTTATTAAGCATTGATTGGTTTCTTGCTTAATTTAGGCTGTTCAAAGTATGAACACTACTGAAGAAAGTTTATACAAAGTTGAATTATTCTCTGAAAAAGAGTTGGTTGTGAACATAACACGACATGAATTCGTGCCAAAACATACAGTTCTTAGTACTGAAGAAAAACGCGCGCTACTTAAAAAATAGTATGTGTTCAATTAAAAATTATTTGGCAATTTTTTCATTGACTGATTATTTATTTAGCAACATCAAGGAAACACAGTTGCCACACATTCAAATAACCGATCCAATCTCTAAATATCTTGGGGTTAAGAAAGGACAGGTTTGTGCATATAGCATACTTTAATTTAGTCTTGCCATTTTTCTTTTGATGTTTAAATACCAAATAATCCGATTAGGTAATCAAGATTACTAGACCCTCCGAAGTATCTGGTCGTTATATTTCTTACCGTATTTGCTATTAAAAGCTTGATATGGTTATTTTTTTTATAAATATTTATGATACGTACAGTATTACTTTGTTTATGTATATGCATTATGCAGAAATTATACGTAGTGCAAATATTATACGTATGTAAAACTTTTCACATTTAAATCTTATACGTACGTACGTACGTTAAGTGATAATACATATCAGATATATTTTTTATCATAACTTTTTATTAATAATAAAAAACAGCAACTCTCACCTATTCTAAATCAATTTATTACTAATGCTATACTAAATTTTTTGAGCATTTTATTGCTCTGAAATAAATAAGTTAATAAAAGTAGGTCAACTTGTTTGAATTCTTAAATTATTTGCAAAATTAATAAATTTTATTTTTACAGTATAATCGTACGTATAAAAATAAAATTTTCTGCAAAACTATTATTAAGAAAGCAACTATTACTGAAAAACAAGCAATTACTAGCGGTAGGTTTTACGCCAATTAAATTGAGATTAAATATACCCGGTAATGAAAACTGATATTACCGGTATTATTATAATAAATTAAGCTACTTAGTCTTAATACTATTCTGTTTTTTTTTTTTAGCTGTTTTATAAATTATTTCGCGGATTATCGTGAATCAGATGATGCCTAAATCCATAATACCTTTATAAGGTTTATTACAGTATTAAAAGATTCAATTAAATATTTGTAACGTAATTGATTTTGTCAATTACCGATACGTAG